CCCTTCGGCTCCATGTTCTGACTCCAAAACTTTTACCTGGCAAACTGGTGGATGGTTGGCCAAATCTGCCAACGGTCACATTTCATTAGGGCCACATACTTTTTAAAATCAGTCACCAACATTTTAAAATCAGGAGAGTTTACATACAGGGTACTCAGATGGCCCCAGGTGGCTTCACACAGGCAAGCACCGTCCTTCCTAACTACATCACCACTTGCTTGCTACCTGCCTGGGTGGCGCCGGTGCCCAGCCCCTTCCTTGAGCCCCCACCCTCCCAGGCCAGCTCTTCTCCTCTCTGACCCCTCTGCCCAGACCAGGCACTTGCCTTCATCAGGCGCATCCTCGTCCCACACGGACCACATATGGACGATGAAGAAGGGCGCCCAGCAAACGACGTAGGCAAGCACGATGACAAAGGTCATCTTGACCGTTCGGATCTTGGCCCTGGAGATGGTGCTGATGCTGCTGACCCGGGAGGGCAGCCCCCACGTGGCTGCAGCCGGCGCCGACTGGGAGGGCCTGTCCCATGTCCTCCAGCCTCTTCCGCCCACCCTCCAGGCCTGAGTCTTGACTTTGAGGTTCTTACAGATCTCGTGGCAGATGAGGCTGTAGCAGGCGGTGAGGACGGACACAGGTAGCACGAAGATGGCCAGGGTGGTCCAGGTGATGTACGCCCGGGGCCCCCAGGGAAAACGGAAGTCCGCCCAGCAGTCCAGCACCCCCGAACCATCCACCACCTCTTTCAAGGAAAATATGAAGACTTGGGGGAGGCTCAGGATGGCGGCCAGCAACCAGGGTGCCGTGATGAGTGGACATGTGGACCGGCTTGGCTGCTGGAGGCTGCGCAGTGGGTGGCAGACAGCCAGGTAGCGGTCCAGTGTCATAGCCAGCAGCATGTAGGTGGAGGCGAACATGCTGAGCACTTGCAGGTACTTGACAGCCCGGCAGAGAAGATCGGGGCCCTGGAAGCGGTAGGTGATGTCCCACAGCAGCTGGGGAAGCACCTGGAAGAGCGCCACGCCCAGGTCGGTCAGGGCCAGATGTAGCACAAACAGGTGCATGCGGGAGCGCTTGCGTCCTGGTCGGCCCAGGGTCAGCAGCACGGCCAGGTTGCCCCCCGTTGCCAGTACCAGGACAGTGGCCAGGACCCCAATCTCTGCCTTGGCCAGCTCCTCATCCCGGCCCAGCCAAGGGGTGGTAGCATTGGGGAAAGAGAGGGTGCCCCCGAGCGTGGGGCTGCTGGTAGCCCAAGGGGTCCCAGGCTCCATGGTGGAGAGGAGGAGGAGAGGAGCAGGGTGATGAGGTCAGACGAATGTTTGGAGTGGTGGGGTAAATAAAGGTCTAGCTGGAGAGGGCAGAGAAGGGCGGGAACGACATGGGAGAGAGAACTAGGTGGGAAGCAGTTAAAGAGAAAGGGGTGAGGAGGAGGGAGAACGAGGTAAGAAAGGAGAAAATGCGGCTGAGAAAATGGATGAGTCCAAGAGGCAGGCAGTCGAGATGGGAAGAAAGAATGAGGCTCTGCAGGCTGGGGGAGCGGCCACTACCCCCAAAGTCACCCCAAATTCGCTTCTCCAAACTTTTCTGAGAGCAGAAAGCGCGTGCATCTCAGCTCGCTTCTCCTGTGCGCCCGGCTGGGTGGAAGCCCCGGAGAGGCCGCAGCACCTGGCCGCGCCAGCAGCGCCGGGCGGACCTGCCCGCAGAGCGCAGGCTTTATGGGCTTGCGGCCGGAGCGCAGCGGGGCCCGGCTCGCCGGTTGGCTGCAGCAAAGGAGGGCGGAGTGAGACTCTCAACTCACGCCCCCCTCGGAGGAGGAGGCGGGCAGGTGGGCGCGCCACTGCCCGGGGCTCCACCTCACCCCGCTGAGAGTCTGTAGGGGTGGTCCCGCCCCACTAGTGCAGCGCTCAGCACTTGAAACAGAATCTGACTGCGCACTGCCAAGGCTTGGGGTCCAAAAGAGAGGACGGGGCCAGAGAGGGAGAATGGTGGTGACCGGAGAGGGGCGGGGGGCGGGAGGGTAGAAGGAGCTCGGCCTGGGGGCGCAGGTGCTCTGGATGACGGGGGGAAAAGAAGAGAAATGCAGGACGGTGGCCCTGGGACAACGAGCCTGAGTCCGTGGCTGTCCTGCGTGGCTTGCAGGCGCCAGGCCAGGCATTTCCAATGTCCGAAACACAGGTCCGGGCCTGTGAGGGACAAACACAAAAGCAGAGCCCAGAGCAGTTTGCACGACTTGCTCTAGAAGAGACCACAGAATTAGCGCGGCAGAGACCCAACTAGAGCCAGCCAGGTGCGCTCCGCAGCAGCGTTTACATTATAACCAACCTGACAGTGGGAAGTGCCGAGGGTGGGGGTGGCAAAGTACAAGCAAAATACCATCCTGCCCAAGGAAAGCTTGCAGTTTAGTAGAGAAGCTTTTGTGTGGTCGGGACGGTGGAATTCCTGCCATCTTCCGTCAATCTGGATTATTGAGACTCCCCCGAGAATAGCAGGGTCCAAGGCTCACTGCCACCGAGTCCATTCTGACTCACAGTGACCCTATAGGACAGAGTAGCACACTCCCTATGGCTTTCCAAGACTTGAGCTCTCTCGTTTTTTTCTTTGTCTTATATCATTTTACTGGGGGCTCGTTCAGCTCTTAGCACAGTCCGTCCGTACATCCATTGTATCAAGACGCCGCATCTCCCTCTGTGCTCTACAGCCCAAGCTGCCACCGACCAGACATTTTGTTCTTTCTCAGTGGCGGTGGTCACTCTACTGTGGAGCATTCCCACCGACATGCAAGCAAGCTCTAGAACCATCCATCTTCAAGGTAATGATTATCACCTTCCTCAGACACGCTATCTTCACCTCCAGCCATTGCAATCTCTCCCCTGTCCTAGCAGAACTTCTCAAAAGGGCTGTGTACATCTGTCTCTTTTATTGCTCCTTACCATTCATGCTTTGACATATCATTTACAGTTACTACTACTACTGCATACACACACCCAATATGCTTTGAAAATATTGCATACGTGATGTATGTGCCGTGCTGGGATTTTCCTTTTAAATCTGGCATTCTTGTTGAGATCTACCCATGCTGATACATATGATAAAGTAGTTCATTCATGAAAACGACAGTAGGGTATTCGAGCCTGTGAAACTCATGAGGGTGTGTTCCCTGGAGCAGCAAAGTGAACTGCACCACCTCCATGTCAGAGAGAACGTGGGGGCTTTTGTGAGAAGGGGGAGGCCAACAGCAATGCAGGCTCTCTTAAAAAAGTCTCACTTGTGACCGGAATAAACCAAAATCTGTCATTGAGTTGATTCTGACTCATAGTGATCCTACAGAGCAGGGTAGAACTGCCCCTTTGGGTTTCAAAGCTGTAAATATTTCCAAGAGTAGACAGTGTTACCTTTCTCCTGTGGAGCAGCTGGTGGATTCGAGCCACTGACCTTGTAGTTAGCAGTCCAGTTGTATAACCCACTACACCACCAGAGCGCCTTGTGATTAGAACACATAGAGTTTATATCCTTTACACCGGAATGCACACTTTGAGAGAGTTGTGTACTTTTCCAGGTACTTTCCATTACCCTAGACACGAGATAAATTACCAAATGTTAAGGCTGATGAGAACAATCAGATAGAACAATCAGAGTAGCATTCATGAGGCACAAGCAATCTCCTTCATGGTCTTATGGACCCTCCAGGCAGCAGCATCCCGCCATCGCACACAATGTATTCATCTGTGAGCAATACAGAAGGTTACAAAAACGCCATGGAGACTGAGGTGAGGAACAAGGTACGCATGGAGTGAGTTGGGCTCACTACACACAGGGAGTTCTTATGTTAATGCTGCATGACCATGCTGTAGTGGGTTACAAACAACATACTTCATTGATCCAGAACCCAAGTGATATAATTTAGTTTGTGTCCAGCTTTTCTGTTTGCTTGTTTGTTTTATTGGCTTTTTCAAAATGCTGTAATGAACATTCTTATATGGACTTCTTGATAATCATGTATGAGAGTTTTTCTCAGGTATAAATCCAGAAGTACATGCTGGGTATAAGTACTGTTGGGTCATACAGTGGAAACGTTTCCAACTACACGGGATCTTATGGCTCCCTAAAGGTGTACTAATTTAATCTTCTACCGCAAACATTTGAGAGTTTTCCAAAATCCTTATAGTCAGATTTTTAAATTTGTACCAGTGTGTGTGAAATAGTACCCCCTTTTGCTTTTATTTTGTTTCCATGATCACTAATTATATTGAGTACTTTCTGTATATATTTGGTATTTTAATTTCCCCTTTTGCAAATTGCTTATTCATATTTTTTATTTTGCAGACTTTCTTCTTTTAAAAAAATCATTTTATTGGGGGCTCATACAGCTCTTTCTTATCACAATCCATACATCCATTGTGTCAAGCACATTTGAACATATGTGCCATCATCATTCTCAACACATTTTCTTTCTACTTGAGCCCTTGGTAGCAGCTCCTCCTTTTCTTTCCCTCCCTCCTCTACCCTCCCTCCCGAACCCTTGATAATTTATAAATTATTATTATTTTTTCATGTCTTACA